TTTGAGGGAGGAGGATTTAAATGAGATTTTTCAAATAAATTAAAAATGACAATAATAATAATATTATTATTAATTAAAATCTTTAAAATCATTTTTATTCTATTTATAATCTCAAATTAAAATAAAATATTGAAAATGTAAGAAAAAGAATGGGTCAATCCAATTGTTTTGACTTCCTTGTATTTTTTAATATAAATCATGTAATATCATATTTTTATTTATACTACTACTATTAAAGTGAGTTATATGTGTATAAAGGTATGGATATATATATATATATATTTTTTTTTTTGTTAAAAAACATAATTGTGTAATAGATGTCTAATGGAAAATACTGGTTTTGCTCACATGCCCACGGTGGGCAGTGCCCACCACTTTTTTTTTACATGAAAAATGTATTCTGAGAATACGTTTTTCAATTAAATTAATTGAAAAACGTATTCTCAGAATACGTTTTTCATGTAAAAAAAAGTGGTGGGCACTGCCCACCGTGGACAGGTGAGCGGGACTGTGGAAAATACCTAACATCTCAACCCTTCTATTGTTATACAGTAAATGCAATCAATGGAGCTGTTAAACTAAAACCAACCGCTTGTGAACTCATCTCTTTATGACTCGAGCTCATTAAAAACATTTTTAATCAAAGAACCGTGCCTAGTATCGAAGACTCTTTACGTAATTTTTCAAAATTTTGCTTTAAATCGGTTTCGTTAAGTCTAGAGTTTACTCGTTAATATTGATAAACAAACCAAGCTCGTGCCCGTTTTACTGGCTCATTGGTTAACTAGCTGAACCGATATAAGTTTGAATTCAAGCAGCTCGACTCGTTTAGACTTGAACAAGATGCGGTTTAAGCGGCCGTCACTACAAAAAAAACTGTTATATTCCAACGGAAATTTTCCGTTGGAATTCTTTATATTTTCCGTTGGAATAGCTATTCCAACGGATATTCCTACGTATAAAAATTTGTGGGAAAAACGGCCGTTGGAATAGCTAAAATCCAACGAAAAATCCTATGGAAATAAATTCCTACAACCATTCCAACGGAAAAAATCCGTTGGAATTTCTCAACCATTCAACACTTATTCCAACATAAAATTAAGTGTGTTGGAATATTCATTGGAATTTCCAACGGAAATTTTTGCCGTTGAAATTTTGCGCTGGAATTGAAGTGTTTTCTTGTAGTGCGTTTTATAAACCAAAACTCAACCAATTAGTGGGAATGCATAGAAGAGACCAATTGAAGATAGTACATCAAACTTATTGTAACCAGCTTAGTTTGCATTTCAGGTAACAATTTTCTTCTTTTTTATTCTTTTTTTTTTTTGTGTGTGTTTTTTTCTAAGTAATTAACAAGGTTTTCTGGGGACACAATGCAAAGGGCCTGCGAATTTGGTGAGCAAAGGCACAAAGCTCCCGGGCTTAGGTGGGATCATATCCCCGCCTTGTGCGAATTTGTGGCTTCGGTCGCCAGATTCTACGAAAAACGCCCCATTTTTCATCACATCTCCCTCCGATTTCCAAGCCCAATTCTTCCATACGCTCTCGGGCGCATAATCTCTCTTCGTAACCTTACATCATAATACACAAAACATGTACAAATGCATGAGTCTAGCGAAAAACCATGAACAAATTAAGTTAGTATACGTACATTCTAATTTTTTCTTTACCTCTTTGGCAAATGCATTGTCGGGGGCCGTGAAACTGTTGCCCTGGCTAAGTATGTTCGGGTGTTGGCTACCACCGATGGCGTACATGAGCCACCGAGTGTAGTCGTTGTTGACCACGTGCACGAAGCCCCACCTCACCCGAGGCATCCTCTGCACGAGCCCCTTTCCGAAATGGTTGAACGCTAGGGTTATTTGCATGATTTGGTCATCCGAGTAGCTGTCGCTAGCTCCGAACAACATAACCTTCATTTTTTATACTTCGTTTCGTTAGTGATTTTAATCACAAGGTACATTTACTTAAAAAAGTGTTATAAATTAGTCAATTGATTACCTCGTTGTGTTGCGCAAAATGGCAATTGGAAACCGTGATGGCTGTGGAGGCTTCGATTGCGTCGATCAAGCCATCGGTGCATTTTGATAGTGACACGTGATCGATCCATATGTTGGTGGCCCCGAACATAGATATGCCGTCCCCATCGCTCCTCGATCGATACCCATAGTGGTCAATTGAGTCCCGGATTAATCCCCCGTTGCCCGACTTGATGTCGTGGATCCGTATGTTGTGTATGATGACGTTGTGTATGAATTGTAGCGTGAGGCCGGCCCCGCCCGTGATGTGCACCTGGGCTCCACGCCCGTCGATCGTCTTGTTGCTAGTCATGATGAGCTCCTGCGAGAGACGGATGACCATGCTACGGGCGAACACGATCCACAGGGGCTCCGGTTGGATGACCGCGTGCCTCAAGGTACCCTTCTTAGGGTTGAGGAGGTCGTTGTCGGAAGGGTCGGTCACAACGTAAGTGCGGCCTGCCTTGCCTCCGGTGGTGTGGCGGCCGAACCCTAGGGCGCAGTCGGCCAGTCTCCGACGGTTCTTGGCCCAATTCCTCTGGCACCGCCAACATTGGTCGATGGGGTTTGTGGCTTGGCATCCAACGGTGGAAATCCCGGATAGTGCTCTCCTTGAGGTGTAGTTGCCTTCCAATATAGACCTTTGTACATCATATATATTGTCAGTTGGCATGTAAACAAGCTGAGCCGAGACCGGCTCGACTCCTTAAGTAAAAGAGCTAAAAATCGACATCGAACTTAGCTTGTTTATAAACGTTAATGAGATGAGTTCGAGGATCTCGAACTTTAACGAGTCGAACTATAAAAACTTATATAAAAATTCTCCTTTCGAGCCTTATCGAGCTGAGCCGAACTCGACTCATTAATAAAACAAGCTTTAAGCGAGATCAGCTTGGCTCATTTGAGCGAAGCTCATGAGCGGCTCGTTTCATTTATCAGCTCTAACAATTAGTTGTTGAAGAAAAAAGCAACTAAAAGAATAGTAAATAAAAACAAGTATGATACAATCAGGACGTGTCGTGTTTTTGTAATTTTTGTTAAAAAAGTTTCATGTAGGGATATAAGGATGTATCAAACCATCCAACCTTTGAATATGCTTGTTGAGATTATTCGAGACGAGCAACGGGTCGGGTTGGTAGGCTCGGCGAGCGGCTAGTTTGGCTTCCTCCGCGCGTTGCTTCCATACCTCGTCGTCTGACGCAGCGCAAGCGGCCGTTGTGGTGAAAACCACAAGGGAAATTAAGATGCACCTTATGGTGTTCATTATTGAGATTAATGATTTATTTATTATGATTTGCTTTTTTGAACAACTTTTTTCTCCATGTTTATATAGGGAGTTTTTCCATGGATGTAGGGATGAGCTTATGTTTCTCAAAAACTAGTGAATTAGGTGTACACATGATAGGTTAGTAAAATGTGACTTGTTGAAAAACAAGTTAAGTACCACAAAATATGAAGATAAATGGGAAGATATGGGAAGCGAGGAGCAAAATGTGGGAAATATATAAGGAGATCAATGTACTAACATACTTTTTTGTTAATTGTTTTAGGAATTATTAGATGATGAGTTGGGAAGGTATTTGAGATTAAAAATTTTGTTTAGGCGTGGCTTGATTGTCATTTTTTTTTTCACCCTAGTTGATTTCTAAATTATTTTGTTTAGTTAACGATATTAAACAAGTACTTTTTTGGAGGCAATCTAAGTTCTATATATTTATTTTGTTTAGTTGTTTTCTTTTACGACTTTTTTACTTTTTAAATAATTCTTATATGTTGAATTGATGTTTTCTAATCTTGTATTCAGTTTCGGTTGATTTGAAATTCTAAATTTCATTTTTTTGTGATTCATAGTATTATATAAATGGATTATTATATATGTATTAGAACTTCTAAAATCTAAACTACTTTTCTAACTTAAACCATAAAATAAATTGAATAAACAAAACTTAAAAACTTTTTTATTGTTAATTTTTTTATAAATTTATTCAATTTATTATTTATAAATTAAATAAATTTAAATACTTCATTTTTATTTTTCTAGTTTTCTAAATATATACTTCTTCGACATAAATAAATAAAGTCAATGTAACAATTTGGAACAAAGTGGATTCATTCTCGACTTGTACTGATCACAAGTAAAAATGTTAAACGAAACGAGTTGCTCGTGAATTGTCTCGGCTCACCTTGTTGACGTTCCAGCTCATTTAGCTAAAGTGTGAATTTTTTTATATAATTTTATATAACTCGACTAGTTACGATTCGAGTTCAACTCACAAGTATTGATAAAAGATTCGGACTTAACTTCATTGTCGACTAATTTAGTTAATGCTCGACTCGATAAAGAATCAAGTTCTAGTTCAAGTATCCTAAGTTTGAACTCGACTCGACTTATTTACAAAAGCAACTAGTTTTTATTCACAAAAATTCTCCATCTAATTCCTGATAGGATAAGCAGCGCCCTGATTGGTCGACAAAAAGATTTCCATTTACAGTTGGAAAAATAAAATTCACACGAAAATTACAAACCATATTAAAAATTAAAAAAAATAAAAATAAAATAAGATAAAGAAAAATATACTTTCAGCGGCTTTGAACCTCTTGAAGCTCACAATTCCCAAATGGCAGTAGCGACGACTGCCGCCGCCAGCAGCTACCGGAAAAACTCGCCAATCCGACACGGCTTCAGCCGCTTGTTCCCCGCCGGTGATGCCCCGAGGTTTTTGGCCATGGCCTCCAAAAAGAAGGTACTTTTCTGCTTGCCCAATTTGCCCTTTTCTTTCTCGAGAGTATTTCATTTGAATGGTGGATGAGAGACCTTATTGTGATGGATATTTGTGTAAACTGTAAAGAAAGCACCTTTTTTTTTGCGAATTAGTGATTCTAGTGAAATATACTACAGATTATATGCAAAAATTGATAGCACATTCAAATGCAGAAAAACCCATCATTTTAAACGCCTTTGAAGTGGTTATCACTTAATATTACTGGAAAAAGATTGAATCTTTCTTGTTTTGTGTGTGTGTGTGTATGTGTGTGTGTGTGTGTGTGTGCCAGTGTGTGTATTAGTAATTACTCCATCACCACCACCCCCACCCCCCACCCCCCAGGTGAACAAATACGATTCGGGCTGGAAAAAACAATGGTTCGGTGCAGGATTATTCTACGAGGGCAGTGAAGAACTCGAAGTCGACATTTTCAAGAAGCTCGAAAAACGGAAGGTCCTGAGCTCTGTCGAGAAATCTGGCGTCCTCTCGAAAGCCGAGGAGCTCGGTTTTACCCTCTCGTCCATAGAAAAACTTGGCCTTTTGTCCAAGGCTGAGGAGCTCGGCCTGTTGAGCCTGCTCGAGAATGCTGCCGGATTGTCTCCCTCAGCCCTGGCCTCGGTGGCTCTGCCGGTTCTGGTGGCAGCTGTGGCCGTGGTCGTGGTGGTTCCCGACGACTCGGTGGTTCTTGTGGCGGCTCAGGCGGTGGTTGCCGGATTGCTGGCGGCCGGAGGTCTCGGGCTGTTCGTGGGGGCGATCGTGCTCGAAGGGCTGCAAGAGGCAGATTAGAGTGGTGCCTTTTGTTTTGGATTTGGGAAGATTGAGACTCTTTGCCTAAGTTAGGTAATTCTTGAATAATCATGTCTGATTTTTTTTTTTTTTTTTTTTTTTTCCCTCTTATTATGGGGTCATAAAGTGTGTATAGGGCCAATGGGTGTAACCAGTTGATACTTGGTTTTGAGTGATATTGTACTATTCCTCTGGTATATGCAAATACAGAAGGTGTTTTTTTGTTGGCCAAATTAAAAGGATTTTTAGATAAAAGTTTTGTAAGCTGCCAATCGTACCATTGAAGTGGTAAACGAGACGAGTCGAATTGAGCTGAGTTAGGCTCGAGCTTTTGATACTCTGAGTTGTGGTTCAAACCTTTATCGAACCGAGTGAAGCTGAGCTTAACTAACCGAGCCACAACGAATTTCAACTCGTGTTGTTTATCTGAGTTACATTTTCATTGCATATAGAGCTGGAAGAGTCATTGTTGACAATTCTCCTGGCATAGTGCTAATAATGGACTAGATCAAAATGGCTCAATTAAATTCTAGTGCTTCTCCTATTAGTGAAGTTTCTAGAAAAAAATATATCAAACGACGCAACATACCTTGGGTCGCTATGGAAACAGCCTCCTTGTATAATTACAAGGGTAAGGTCTGCGTACAACTGACCCCCCAGACCCCAACCTGTTGGGAATATACTTGGTATGTTGATGTTGATGTTGTTTATCTGAGTTAATGAGTCAAAATTGTTCATTAACAAACCAAGATAAGGTAATATTTTAGAAAATTATGTAAAAGGCACTTGACGAGCTAAGCTCTACTCGTTAATTAACCAAGTTGTATCTTGAGCTCGGTTCCTGTGATGTATGAGCCAAACTGAACTCAAATCTTAATAAGTTTGAGCTGTGGGCTGGAAACCGTGAGCGGAGTAATTGTTTTACCTCATAACTCAATAATAATGAAAGCAAATCTAAGAAAAATAGAAAATGTGTTTCCACTATTATCCGAAACAGTTATTTTTATTGAAAAGATTAAAAAGAATCAAGAATCAAGCCCATACAAGAATCAATATTTGAAAAGATTAAAAAGAAAAAAAAAAAGGAATAAAAAAAGTGGAGATGCGGGGTATCGATCCCCGTACCTCTCGCATGCTAAGCGAGCGCTCTACCATCTGAGCTACATCCCCATTTGTCCATTGATTTTATTATTAATTATTAGTTTTAATGAGGGAAAGAAATTAACAAGCTTAACATGATTATGGAAAGAAATTTTTTTAATATTACAATACGTATATATATGATAAAACTCTGTTTTAATGCAAAAATTGAATCGTGCGGAAAATATGAGAATGCTACTAATATTTTGATTAAAAAAAAAAAGAAAAAAGAATTCTTTGTGTTTTATAGATATTAAAATAATCATTTTGTTTTTGTTTGTTTTTTTT